CAAAACCCAGCTGTGAGCTGGGAGCTCCCTTCAGCACCCAGCTGGCAAAGCCTGCCCAGCAGCACTCATTCCACTCTGGCAAGAGGAGGGCAAGCACAGCTGCTGCCCAGCTCGGGCTGGCTGAGTGCACACGGTCATTTCCTCCAAACCAGAGCCTCCCTCACCCTCCTCTCTGCAGGCACTGGCACAACACACTCCCAACAAAAGGTGGGAATTGTCCCACACTCCCACAGGCTCATCCTCCTGTTCCAGAGCAGGAAGGAGCAGAGGAGGAGCCCTAAGGTGGGAATGGTTTGGAGCAGCCCAAACCCTCTCGGTGAGATTTTAGCATTACAACTCTCTCCTGAAGAGAGAAATTGAGTGTTTCTCCTGCCTCCCTGTGTTAACATTCACTGAGACCAAATCCTGAAGGATTTAAATCCCTGTCTGAGGTGCCCCAGGAATTCCTGCAAACCTTCCAACCCACACAGCTCCAAGAGCCCTTGCCTTCCCTTCCAGAGGGAGTGGGGGCACTCAAAGCCAGAGCTGTGCCTGCAGCAGCTCTGAGGCAGCAGGGGCAGAAATCTGCAGTGCAGGCTCCTGTGGTTCAAAAGGCAGAACTGGAAGCAGAATTGGGATTCCACTTGCATTGTCACTGCAGTGCAGCTCCTCCTGGGCACTGTGGAAGACCACGGGCTGTACTCAGCCCCCTCCCCCTGAGCAGCTCAGGCACCAAACCCTGCAGGCACAAAGTGTTCTGGGATATTTCCAGTGCTCTGGGATGTTCTAACAGCCTCGGGGACGTTCCCAGAATAGCTGCACGGTGCCACTGGGCTTCCTGAAATTGTTCTGGAACAGAGCCCCAGGGCTTGCCACTGATTTCAGACAGGTTTTTGTTCATTTTAGCTCCAGTCCTTGGTCCCATCTAGAGGCACAGCAGACAGAAACACGTCCTTGTTTTCCTGCAGCCACACACACCCACCTTGGCTTCATAAAGGAGAGGTCCATGGAAACAAAGCACTCGCTCACCTGCAAGGGAAGCACAGAGAAACAGCTCAGAGAGCATTCCCACAGCCCTGTCACCTGCTGTGCACAGCACAGGGGCAGCCCCGAGGCAGGAGCCGACTGCAGGAGCAAATTCTCTGTCCCAGCAAAGGGGTCAGAGCTGTGATTGTTTGGAACCCAGAGCAGAGACCCCCGAGCATCCCAGGAGCAGCTGCACACTGGCACAGTCACAGAGCTGGTGCCCTGGGCAGCACCTGGCAGCAAACCCCACATCCCTGCCATGCCCAGATCTCCTCCCCAGCCTCAGCTCAGGCTGCAGCCCCCACAGCAGGCTGGGCTCAGCCACAGGGCCCTGATCCAGGCCCTCTCCTAACATCCCACTCTGCACCTGAAGCTCCTGACGCCTGAAAGCCACCGTCACCCGTGTCCCTTTCTTGCAGGAAGGGCAGCACGTGGCACTCCCAGCTCAGGGAGTCAGGAAGAGAGACCCCCATGCTGCTTCCCCACCCAGCCTGTGGGCCAGGGCAGGGCAGCAGCAGAACCCCTCACGCTGGGGTCTGGAGCAGGGTGAGACTGTCCTTCAGCCTGCCTTCATCTCTCCTGGCCAAGTCTCGTTGTGTGGTTCCCCTGTGGGATTTGCAGGGTGCTTAACACGAATATCTGAGGGCACACATGTCCTGGAAGCTGCAGTGCCTCCCGGTTTTGGGAGGCTGAGCTGCACAGCTGTGAAATGCTTCTGTGCCCCAACAAAGAAAAAGGCTCGGGAGGGTTCTCCCGGAGGTGCCACACTGACACAGCACACAATCGATACTTGTATTTATTTTAAAATGTCCCTGCAGAGGGGCTGACCATCAGGAGGTGACAATACCACCCTCATTGTCACAGCGCTGTGACACCCTCTGCCTCAGAGCTGGGCAGTGATTTCCAGGAGGGATGCCCACGGCTACTGAGGAACGTTCCTCGTTAAAAACCACACGGGTGATTTGCAGAAAGGGCTCTTTGTCTCCATGATAGCCCGGCAGGCTCCATCCCTCACTCAAGGGCTGCTCCTGGATGCACACACCGTTCTGACACCAAAACCCATCCCATGCCAGCCCTGCCAGGTCCATCCCTCACTCAAGGGCTGCTCCTGGATGCACACACCGTTCCTGACACCGAAGCCCATCCCATGCCAGCCCTGCCAGGGCAGGGACACTTCCACTGTGCCAGGCTGCTCCAGCCCTGCCCAGCCTGGCCTGGGACATTCAGGCATGGGGCATCCATCTTACACCGCACTGCTATTTTTACTTATCTTACTCGTGTAACCCTCAACCGCATCATTACCTAAAAATCAAAATACACGCGGAAAAAGCCTCCTGAAAAGCCCGATCCACCATGCACCCCAAGCCCGGAGCTCTGCGGCAGATGTGGATTCCAGCTGTGCTGAAATCCAGCGCTGCCCCCATGAATCCTGCTGCACGGGGCTCCCTTCCGGGGGACAATAAACAACCACCATCCTTCAAGGCATTAAAACAAAACCCCCGGACGAACCAGAGGGATTCCAGAGGTTTTAATGCCAACGAACCCGCCCGCATGAAAACGAAGGATATTTGGAATAACGGGGTGGGAAGGGCCCGCGTGCCTCCGGCAGGGAGGAGAGGGCCGGGAGCACACAGAGCCTGCGGGAATTCCGCTTTCCGCACCTATTCGCACCTGCCCGGGCTGGGCAGGGCGCGGGGAGCCGGCTGCCCGAGCGGGGCCGGGGCGAGCCCCCCGCGCCGGGCGCGGCCCGCACCCGCAGCCCGGGCCCGCAGCCCCCAGCCCTGCCCGCACTCACCCTCCTGGAACTTGGGCTTAGGGTCCTGCTTGGGCGCCATTTATAAGGGCCGGTCCCTCCTCCGGCCGCTCCCCGCGGGGCCCCGGCGCTGCCCGGCCCGGCCCCGGCGCTGCCCGGCCCG